AGAAGAAACGTGCAAATGTATACATTTATCTATTTCTTTTTTCAGGATTGAGTCCAGTGACATTCCGTTGCTTGCCGCAGTGGCCAGCACACACTCGCCCTACGTGGCCCAGATCCTTCTTTAAATAGACCAAGCAAGATTTATTTCACTTTAAGGACCAATCAGAATGTGTTCCTGTTCTGCATGGACCAGCAAGGATCTGATCACTATCAGATGACCACACCAATCATGATGCACTGTGCTCGACAACCATTCGGAGCCTACACCCAGCCTTAATATGCCAATCAGAATGCCTCGTTTGTCCAGCTGACAGTCTTTTCTGTGTATGTATGTTCGTACGTACGTGTGTGTGCATCTAACTGTCTATAGGCTGATTCATGCACCACATTGTTAATGCTCTTCTTATTTTATCTCGTGTCTTTTCAAGTCTTATATGAAAGGCAAGTCTGGAGACCGTAAATTTTATCGATAGAAAACATCACTAAGAGCAAGAATTTGAAGAAGCATCTATTCATTTGATCCTTCCATAGAAGGATCTCTGAGCACTGTGTTTGAATGCACAATAGTGTAGTTCATTAAGGATGAAAGCATATCTATAAAAAGTATAGCCTCTCTATGAAGCACATTAGTTTACATCAGGAGCCAAATTTTGTAGCTGGATGATCTTGGAAGAATTAGTTCCTCCAAAAAAATAAAAATTCTGCCATATTTACTCATGTTGTTCCAAATTTGCAAGACGGACTTTCTTCTTTTAAAAAAAAAGTATCTTGGCCACTCTTTTCCATATAATAAAAGTAGAAGACAACAGGGGCTGCTACAAAATGGCAAAAAAAATCTCATTAAAATACAATGATTATATTCTGTCGTCTTAAGTGAAGACTCTTTTTTTTTTTTTTGACGACATTTTTTCATTTTTTGTTCCACAGAAAAAACTCAGTAATATAAGTTTGTAACAACATGAGAGTGAATATAAAATGACAGGATTTTCTTTTTTGGGTGAATCGTCCCTTTAAAATCGTACATTCCAACCGCTTGGCTCTAGAACACAGCTCTGAAACCATTTTAAAGGATACTTTAAATGAATGCCTGAAATTTTATTCAAGAAAAGCATCAGTTTTGTCCTCAAAGACAATGTAAGTCACAACAGCTTTTACTTCCTTTTGTTGGAATTTGATTAAATCAGTCAGTTTTCGTAGTTTTCTAGCCCAGGGTGATTTTAAATTTAATTCAATCTGCAATTTAAGTTTTTATCATATTCCATAATCTCCAGACAATGGCTTTTTAGATATTATTTCAAAATGTGTGTGTGTACGTTACGAATGTGTATGCTTTAATCTCAGAAAGATGAGAGAACGTTTACAGAATGGGGAAGAGGTAGATTGGGTGTGATATCAAACTGTTACTGTTAATCACTGGTCAGTCCACAGATCGTGGATTACAGTATTAATCTGGTGCTACTATTGTGTCAAAGGCTTACTAAAGCACACGCACACTTTTACGCTCTGTCCTTGTGAATACTTTGTTTCTTTCAGTGGTTTATTGCACTGAAAGACAAGTGTCACAGCAATAGAACCCCAGGTTTGTGACACTAGAAATAAAATAAATTAGACTTTTTTTTTAATTGTTCCACTATAAAGACCTAGAGAAAGATGATTATTTTTGATATTTTCAAAGAATATTCTACCTCAAGTAAAAGATCTGAAAGTGGCCTGTTCTGAATTTTTGGGATTGATCAGTCAGTATTACATCAAGAATGCAGTGTGCTGATACCTTCATTGACTATACAGGTGCATCTCAATAAATTAGAATGTCGTGGAAAAGTTCATTTATTTCAGCAATTCAACTCAAATTGTGAAACTCGTGTATTAAATAATTTCAGTGCACACAGACTGAAGTAGTTTAAGTCTTTGGTTCTTTTAATTGTGATGATTTTGGCTCACATTTAACAAAAACCCACCAATTCACTATCTCAACAAATTAGAATATGGTGACATGCCAATCAGCTAATCAACTCAAAACACCTGCAAAGGTTTCCTGAGCCTTCAAAATGGTCTCTCAGTTTGGTTCACTAGGCTACACAATCATGGGGAAGTTTTCCATGACATTCTAATTTATTGAGATGCACCTGTATACTTAAAAGCTGCATTTCGGATTGAAACGCGCCTGTTTTACATGTCTCTAGTGTATTTCTGTACTGAAAGTAAATGTAAAATTGCCTTGCTTTTTTATAATTTTTTTTTGTCGAGGTTGAAATTTGAACACTAAGGTTTTGCCACATTCAGTAGTCCCTTTTGAGGCTAACAGATGTAATCTTGTTTTTCTTTTGGTCTTTTCTGTGCATGGTGTTTACATGTATGGGTGAATGCAGTTTGGTATCTTGTCTGTGACAATAGGATGTTGCAAAGAACTGAACTAGTGATGAATAAATTGTCAAGAATTTGATAACTGCATTTTGTAGTTGTATCTTCTTTTTCATGGATTCAAGGTTGATATTAGATTATGATAGCAACTGTATATAGAGTTAAAGTTCTATATCTTTGTTATTCGTTCGTGGACAATCAGTGAAACAAATTGGTCTCATTCACTTATGTGCACTAATCATATTTTGTTAGGGAGGTGTATGAAGTTCAAACTTCACTACTGTACTTGCATGTTTTTTGGAAGTAGATTTGTGTGACCAGTTTCTAATGATATTACATTTACATTTACATTTACATTTACATTTAGTCATTTAGCAGACGCTTTTATCCAAAGCGACTTACAATTG